CCGCCACTTAGTCATACAGCACAGCTGTGGCCACGCAACCATCACATCCCTGACCACCACTTCCTCCTCAGAGGGGATGGTTTGTTGCCAGCCTTCATTTGTGCTTGTGTTGCAAGCTTATTTTCCTCTTCTTCTTTTTTTTCTTTTTTTTTTCCAGCGTTTTTCCCAGTTTTATATAATCTACTAGACTTCCTCCGTGACGTTTTCACATTAAGCATTTTGTATTTGCAGTGTGTGAGCCTTGCTTGCAAACACCAAACGTCATGAGAAACAAATCATAGGAAATAGCATTCAAAACATGTTACAAAGGTTATTAAATGTACTGAGCGCAAACAACACACCTCAGCAGCAGCTGCAGCAACAGTGCAAACATGACACTTTTAATGACATGCTGAAGCAAAACTTGGAGTGATGTTATTGTAATGACTTCGTTGGGTGTTCAGTAGATGCCTTGAAAAAAACGTTTAAATGCTTTCCAGCTGCAAACCTGTGTGCTTTTGCACCGGGGCTCGCTTATCTTGTATCTCTATATAAGTGGTTACTGACTAGTTGGATGCACATACTAATCCAAAATTTTATTTTGCAGAAAAATCAAATGTTATAGCAAAAGAAGCTGTTTCCAGATGGACAGGTGAGTCTGCTAATTTCTTTTCTTTCTTCTTTTTAAATATATATAGACATGTAATGGTCTGGATTTAAGCTGTAGGAACATAAAATGCCCAATGTCTGGTTGTAGCGCTTGTTTATAAAGTGAGAGTTGTTTTATTTTGTAGTCACTATTTGTGGATTTTGGACTACTGACTGTTGATTGACCTTGGTTTACTGTTTCCTGTTTGAAATTTCTGGTTAGTCCAAAAAAAAAAAAAAGCAGCTGGATGACAGCAGTCGGACTTTATCTCTGATTGCTGTTTAATGCACGTGAAAGCGCATTAAAGTGAAATCTGTGAAGGCGCTCTCTAGTCCAGCTGTCACTCTAAGTAGTCCGCGCTTATGCTCTGTGTGTACGTTTGTTGACTTGAGTGGTAACCTTGGACACAGCTGACCTTTAGGGATCATGGTAGCCATCGATGCCTGTGGTCTTTTGACTCTTTAGATCAACATTGCCTGCTGCAGGTCAACAGAGTGGTGTTGTCAGTTTTGGTTGGAGAGCTTTTGCTTTGCTTTCATGGAAGGAAGCTCAGTTAAAAAAAAAAAAAAAAAAAAAAGTGAGTCATTTCTGCCTCATTCACGATTAGTACTTCTCTTTTCTGAGCTGGACAGTATGAAACAAACATGCATAAGTGTTTCCTCGTAGCGCAGCTGTTGAATTTGCACAGTAACGTCTTTTACTACGAGCTATAAAGTTCTCATGTTATGCCGTTAGAGCGAATGTTACTATTTTACCAGGTCTGGTCAGGGTTTGTGGCTAAACACTCAAATCAACACAGCAAAGCCAAATTTTGAAGGTTTCATGGAAAAAGCAGCTGCAACTTTGCGCACCTTGTTTGTTTTTAAAACACTGCTGCTGTATGTTGGCCTGCTCATGGATTGTCTGCGACTGCCCACACAAGCCTCGACACATTTAATCGCTTGTCATATCAAAACTGGAGAACAGTAAAAACGAATCCTCCAGAAGTGAAGTGAAAGGCATCGCTAAAAGTGCAAGCCGACGTTCATTGGCTTAAGCTCCTGATCAGTTGTTAGTCTGCAGGAAGTTGTTCTGCTTTTGAAACTGGAGACTTCAGAGCTTCAGCTGCTAAAAGGTTTTCCTGAAATAGACATTTTGTTTTTAGTCAAACTGTTATTTTTATTGCTATTATTTAAGAATAGGACGCAGGTGTATATATAAAATGTTTTCTTTTTTTAAACTATTTTCACATGAGGCTGTTAGGGTGAATTCACCACCATAAAACATCAAGATGTATTTAATTTGAGGTAGTTAAATGGATTATTATATATTATATTATATATGGATTACACACATACATCATTAAAGAATTTGAAATTGTTAATGCTGGATGTGAAATGTCGAATGACTGTTAATGGCAGTTTGTGTTTCCTAAATTTACATGATATTCACAAAACTGGGAAAACAGATAATCTAAATCTGACGCACTAACCAGTCATAGTAACCCGGCTTTCTCCTTGCTTCTGAAGGAGCAGTCCAGATTCCTTTTGCTGTAAATGTACAGTATATATTTGTAAATTGAGATTTCATTTATATTTCATGTGTTTAGTGTTTCTTTTTTACTCTTGTTCTCAGACAATGTTTTCGCCATAAAGTCGTGGACAAAGAAGAAGTTTGCCTTTGATAACAGCCGCATTGATAAAGCCTTTGGTATCCCGGAGGATTTCGACTACATGGACTGACTGCCAGCATGTCATGGACGCAGCGATGGAGTAATGTGTTTCGGCCTCTGACACCTACCTACCTGGTCTCTGCATTTCTAATTCCTGTGCTGTGGGTTTCAGTGAAAATAAAAGCACCAGACGCTCTACTCGCGCCCTCGGGTGGATTTTGAATAAGGACAGATGTCAGTGACTTTGCGGTGGCAGATGGACTTCATCAGTGGATATGTTACTTTGGTGCAACCAGAGAAGAGTCTGAAACGCCATTAGTGGCTGTGAGGGCTGACAGGGTCCTGTGATGAGCACAAGCTAGCAGCCAAAGTGTTGGGACACCTGTTTGCATGAAAACCGAGAGCTCCAAGTAGATGATGGAAAGGAATCAACACTTACTGCATTTGTGTTGCCAGTGGTCGCGTTTGTATGGTTTAAACAGATGGTTTGGAATCAAATGCTTGTGCACTTTTTCTTAGATATGTTCCTTTTCTCTCTCCCTCCCTGGAGTATTACAGGGCATGCTTTCCTAGTTGTATTATAACTACAAAGGTCAGTGTCAAGTTATCTTTGATGTTTTTGTTTCTTTTATAATCGTCACTGGAATTTTAGGGTTTTTTTGTTTTGTTTTTTTGTTGTTGTTTTTCAGGACTCACTTTCCGGATGATCAAAAAAGATCATTGCTGTCACAACATGTCTAGAATGACTATTGACCTTCTTTTTTTGCTCCTTTTTTCTGTCAAACCAGATGCAAAATAGGCAGTTGTGTGTCTTGTTTACTCTGTGACCTAGTTGAGAAGGCCAATGTGTCTGGGTTCTTTGATTTAAATTTCAAATGAGCTCTGTGCTCATTTTGCTTTGCTCATCAGTTTCATTTTTATTCCAGTAAATGAATGACATGCAAATGTAATATCTGATCTTTCGCCTCTTCTAAGGTTTTTTTTTTCTGCATTAATCAATGTGAGACAGATGTTAGTTACTAATTTAAAGGACACTGTTTTACTACTGTAAGTTTAGTTGGTGGCATGATGAAGACTCATCTAATCCAGTCTCTGGATGTCCATGAACTGATGACTACAGCAAGGCTGGAACAAAATAAATAGTCGAAATGCCTAGCAGCAGTTTGTTTGAGGGAGCTGACACACCCATACAAGAATAACCTGGATGTATTCATGTGTGTACCTGCCCAACCTGTACTGTGATTCACGGGCCTGTTGGCTGTCAAAACTCTGAGAACTCTGCGTACAATTTTTGGTAATCGCAGCTTGCAGTTTCTCTCGTTAAAACATGCCTGGCCCTGAAAAGAGCCCAACAGAGCAGTACTGACACAAGGACTTAGCCCTCTCCCCATATGAACATATGAAATCAGAGTGGTGTAACTGGAGTGTAAAGGACTTTTATTACATGCATTTGCCTACGTTTCTGCAAAGAAAGTTTAAAACCCAGCCAATTTCTATTTTATTACACATTTCCAAATGCTCCTCCGTACCTTCTCCAACTCTCGATTTACATGCTGACACTGCCAGTACAACAGTGAAAAATTCCTGCATTCAAATCTCACCTCAGTAAAAAGAATCGCACACAAATGAAGTGAAATATCCCCTGTGACTAAGCGATTATATTACGAATCAAAGTGTGGGTTGCTTTTTACTGCTGAAGAAGATCAAGGTGTGGGAAGTTACTGTTTGATATACAACTGCCTGCCAAGGCCACACAGGATTAATCTGGACAGGGGGCAAATATATTAGAAGACTATTTTTACACTATAAAATCTTAATACTCAACTTGAAAGCTTATGCATTATTATATTATTACTAGCCTATTATTACTAAAGTGCTGTGAAATGAAACATTTATCTTAAAATTAAGTAGAGTTTAATGTATTTAGTCACTTCCCACTTGGAAATACTGTGCCACCAGCAGTTTTAGAAGTATTTACTTACTGACACTAAGTAAAAGTAGCAGGACTGGAGTAAAAATGTCATTAGCAGAATATGGATTAAAAGGGATCAGAGTGAAAGGCTCTCTATACCGGACACTAATATTTTTATTAGTTTAGTTGTATATGCTATAACATGAACCCGGACTCCATGTGTAAGTCAGACTTTTATGTTCTATCTCATAAAGCCCAAGCAGATCTCATTTACAGATAGTATTTCCAGAATCTCAATGTTTACACCTACTGTTAGTACATGTATATTAAATTGACAGATCACGGCTGATCTACAATAGCATTTAAATGCTTTATAAGCCACTCAGCTTGAGATCTCCTGGTGTATTGCCATTAATAGCAGTGCATTTTAAAATAATACTCAAGTTATTTTTTAATTGTAATTTTTGTGTTTTTGTTTCTGTACAAAGCCATTCAGTGGGGAGGGGGAGCTGTACCCTCTGGGGATGTGTTCTAGCAGGGTTGAAGTGCAGATAAGTTTAACTATGTTTTAATTTCTAATATCAAATAGCAGCTCTTAACTAAAGCTAGTCAGAAATATCAGCATTTGATTCAATACAGCGTTTGATCAGTTGTTTCACCTCGAGTATTCGGCTACTTTACAGTTTTATGTAGGGTTGCATAAAGACTTGTTATTATTTTTTAATGGTATTTGTTGGCTTTCTACCTCGTGCCTCGCTGCAGTGCCTGTAGCCTGCTTGAGCAGGCGGGGAGGGAGAGAGGGAGGGAGCTGCTGCTGCTTCTGCTTGCTGAGAGAAAGAAAGACCAACGCAGCGAAACACAAGGCAGGCTGCTAGCAGAGCGGGCAGCATGGCGGGGCTACAAGACTTCCACCAAGGCAGCCACTGTCACAGGAAAACGTGGATCAATATACTACTAGGAATACTACAGTTACTTTTACCCTGCGTCCAGCACGGAGGTGCTCAGCTCCAAGGTTTGTTATTCTCGTCTTTATTTTCCGCTTTGGGGGGCTGGTACGTTCACGCGACCGTTGCAGAGAAAAAAAAAAAGAAGAAATGTGCTTTAATTTTGCTAGGCTATTATTGTGGAAGACGAGAAACGAGTTGAAATGTCCACAGTCAGTCTAAGTGTATGAAAAATAATGAAAATAAAAGTTAAAGTGGTGTTTTTATTTTTCTTTTGTTTTTACTCGGGAGAGGTTTGTAGCTAGTGCTTTATCACCCCGCTAATGTGAGTTCTTGCTAGCTTCCAATTCCCCTCTGCTGTTTGATTTAACGAAACTGAGTTGCTCAGACATGGAAGTAGCGGGTTGTCGAGACTTTGAACGTCCACTTAGTGGCTGCTACTGTAATAAATCTACGCGGTGTTGTAAGCTGCCCTTTACATGACCATACAGTCGTGTTTACTGCAGCAGCAGGGGAGATGTTTCCCCAAGTTCGTTAGCCACCGAGCTAACCCCCAGCTAAACAAGCAGCTAGCAAACAGCCTTTGTGAGGCTTCATTTCCTCACTTGCCTGTCATTCTCGCCCACTCCGTTTCCCTTGATTCATTCGTAATAAGAGATGATGCTACTGTGGCTTGGCAGGTTTAATTACTTATGTTATAATTATTATCTTTTCGGGTGCTTTGGATGCATTTCCACCAGAGTGTGTTGTTTTCCATGTTGCCCAGTTTCCCAGGGCAGCACCTAACTGTTAATTTGATTTCTTGTTCCCTACAAAGCTCTGAGTCAGATGTCACCCAGCGTGGTCGAGGTCTGGCAACCAGAGGATGCAGAGCCATTAGTCCCGCTTCAGGTAGGTGCCTTCTAATGGCTGTGTTTGTATTTGCCTCTTTATGTGCACACTTCCAAAAAGAAAAAAAGAAGCTCATCAGACAGCATGAGTGAACACGTGTGGGTTAAAGCATCACCGATGTTTTTGGACTCAGTTTGCAGACTGATTTGGGTGTGTTTGAGAGGGGAAGAACTCGTCAATACCCCGCCACGATTTTGTCAACACAGTTATCAAGAAAAGTTATCTTGCTAGTAGTCACAGTTCATTAAACAACTCCAAAGTGAAGGCAGAGCGGGAGGTCACCTGTCATGTGGCTCCTCCTTATTTTCTTTTGTACGTGCTATCCATTGTGGAGTTCAGTTAGTAACACACGCTGACAGCCTGAAGAACGCAGTTGCTTCCGGCTTTGTGGTTCACACATTTTAGTCTAGGTTATGCAGTTCTTTTTTGTTGTTGTTGGTTTTTTTTTAAGTACTTCCAGTCATTTTCAAGTGGGTGTTTGTGATTATTATGTAATTGTGAGGCAAGAGCAAGGGTAAACAGCACAAGTTCGGTGTTTACTGATAAACCTATCATGAAGTCACCAGCTGGCTTGTCAGGTTACCTGAAAGGGGTGTGTGGCATTTTTCCTGAAAAACTCTGCAAGGAGACAGTGTTGAGAGTTTGGCTGCTTTAGGTGAAAAACTAGATGCAAACTAAACTATTTGCATACCTTTTCTTTTTTTTAAAGAGTTCAATATTATTCTTTTGTGTTCAATTAAAAGATTAAAAGCCGGCCTCCTTTGCACAGAAACATTTGCAGAGAGTTTATTTTTGCCACTGTATAGTATACTTTTTACAAGCTTGCTTTGTGGTGTGCACCCTACGGTAATTGCCAAAGACCAGAGATAACACCGAAGCAGTTGATTCAGCATTGCAGATAGTTCTTAGTGTGAGTTGTATACGCTGATAAATAATTCATATGCCGAGGGGAGGAATTTGATGTTTCTTTTGTGTTTTGTTTTTCCACACTTACCCCTACCTTGCAGATCAGTTAGCAGGTGACTGGCTTGTTGACATTGTTGAGTGTCATATGTAGTATTGGATGGAGCGATTGTCTCAGTTACATGAGCTATGTGAAACAGAGCATAACATGGATGTCTATCTTCTACCCCAGTGCTGTGGGCTCACTGAAGTAGTGATGCTGGAGATGCAGTGTCATATGTGCAGATATATCGTCAGAATAAAATCTGGGCTGTAAATACATTCCTGTAATACTTGCAGTAAATGCTGCATGTTTCCTTTGCTTGTGCTTTTTGTAACCATTAACATGCTTTATGGGTCACGTGTTTATATTGGCCTCAGGTCTAATGATATTGGTTGAAGTTCCCTGGTAATTTTAAATTGCAGTTTTATCTGCTTCATCTTCCTGTTTGGGTTTTGTCATTTCTGCACTCATCGTTTACAAACACTGCTGCTGTGCTTGTGAATATTCCTTTTCGTGCTTTATCAGCTCAGCTGCTGCAGTGAGCAGCATAAGCTTTTATTTTATTGTTGTGCACACTCTAGTGAAATTATTTTTGTTTCATTTAGTTGAACTATTAAAGGTGTTTGAGTTCTTGAAAGAAATTTACATCAGCTGGAGCTTTTCAGGCTGAGGCCTGTAGTTTCTGCTATGCTGGGGAAAGGTTTATGTGGTTAAATGGTCGGCTGTTATGAAGCGTTTTTACCCTTAGCAGTTCTACAAAGCAATTTACAGTGTTTCTCGTTCACCCACTCACACAACCCCCAGGGCTTTTTGTGGCTTCACTGGTCCGTGTGCAGCGAAGGCAATATGTCTGCCTTACATCATTTAATGGAAATTTCTGCATTTTTCTCTTATAGCTGAATTTTATTTTATTTTATTTACACAAATTTATACTGTGCTTGAGCACTATGCATGAAACATCAATTGCTTTAAAAATTGCCTATTTGGAAGAACACCAGAAACTTGCACAATAATAGCTGTGGATCTAACTTCCATTGTGACTAATTTTAGCTTCAATGTCTTGCCCAGGGCTGTTTTTGCAGTGGCAATATGTTTATGTACATATTTGTCTTGAAAGAAGACTCATGCAGTTTCAGTTATTAAATAATTCAGTATGTATGTTCAACTTCTGCAAATAGCAGAAGAGGGCGGGGGAATAGCTAAGAAATGAATCAGCTGTCGTTCAGTTAGCCTCTCATCCAGCACGTTAACTCCAATCCACTGTCTCAGACTGCAGCTGCTGAGAGTAGTCCTTGTTGTGCTTTGCGTCCTTGGTGAGCTCTGCTTAGCAGCACATGAACCATTTCTCCATCTGCTGCAGGTTCTGGTTAGAGTGGCCCTCCAGCTTACTTTAGAATGTAAAGACAAGGACAGAAAAGAAGAAAAGAAGCCTAGCTACTGAGCCAGTAGGACAGTAAAATATGAGGTAGGAAGACCTAGGGCACTCCCTTATCAGCAAGTGAACTTTCAAAATAGGACCAAGGAAGTGTTGCACTTGTAAGGATTTCCTCATGTTATGGTGACACGGGCCTTTGTTACCCTGAGCATGCCGAGCATATTACACACCTTTATTACAGAAATCGGGGTTAGATCTGTTACAGAAGTAACAGCTTTCAGTTAAATATTCCCATCACTACTGTTACCATAAAACAGTGCTTAGTACATGGGAAATGTTTTGGGTAACTAGATTCCTACTTCACACAAATGTAATACTGGAAGGAATGACTGGTAGCATGCTTTTTATTCTGCAGGAAACCTATGTGTACATCAGAAAAAGAAGAATTAAAGAGCATCGTTGTTTTTCATGGTGATTAATAGTGTTCTGTATCCATTGCTTGTAAAGCATTTAAATTTCGCTTATGGGTTTTTGGTTGCCAATATGATACAAATAGGAACCAGTTTTTGTGCAGATAAGACATTTTTAAATCTGTTAAAGGATCCTTCAAAAATTTCTTTTAGAACGCCATTCAAGTTGTCCTATGTTATTTTACAATCAGCTGTAATGGTCAGGTCTTCTACAGTTCAATTCTAAATCTGCTAATGCATTTCCTACTTTTTAAAAAAAGTGACGTTTTGTTAAATGCCACCAACTTACTTAGACCGATCGGCGCATTGGGCGACAAGAGAGCGCCATTGAACTCGGTCCATCGCAGCAGTTTTTGCTTCATCCCATGACAGTTCGGCTGAGCGTAAATCTTCAAGGAAAGTCCTCCTCCATGTTATTTTGGGTCTCTTTCCATTCTTCGGGTTCCACAGAACCGCAACAGGTCTCGGGTCCGGTAGCAGAAGGATGTGACCGGCAAATCTGAGCTGAACTCAGTTGTTCAGAGATATTCCTGCGTTTTTGTGTTGTCCACGTTTGGTTCCCGTTATTTGTGTGTGATATTTATTAGCTGCAAACGGGAATCATGTGAACTGATGTAGTCTGCGGTACTTTATTAATTTAACTGGGTGGGCATAGATGCGCCCTGACCCACTGGTGTCAAGACAACCATCTCACCCTCAACGTCGCAAAAACAAAGGAGTTGATAGTGGACTTCCGGAGGTGCAGAGAAGTACACACC